TCAACGAGTCGCGCGTGTCGTGTTACAAAAACAACATAGAGAGCCCCCCCCCTTCCTCGGGTCCGCCAGCGGACGCTCGGGCGGAGGGACTCCAGTGAGTGCAATCGTCGTCGTCGTCGCCGTCGTCGTCGTCGTCGTCTCTTTTCGGTTCATCAAAAAAATCCGTCGCGTCGTCGTTCACTTGTATCCCCACAGCCGGCTCTCGCGGGCCCAGTCGCCGTAGACGTCGTCCTCCACCTTGTCGACGTGCTCAGGCTGCTGCTGCTGCGACCACACGCTGCTCCCCGCGTCGGACCAAGACGACGACGGCTTCATCGGCACGGAGTACGCGCTGTCGAGCGAGCTCCGGCGATCGATCGGGGTGAAACTCGCCGTCGCCGTCGCCGTCGCCGTCGCGGACGCGGACGCGGTCGAGCCGCCGCCGACGGCGAACGCCGCGGACGACGCCCACAGGTTCGACGACCCGGACCCGAAGCTCGAGGCAGCGTCCGGCGACGCGCCGCCGAGCTCCCCGGAGACGAACCCGAGCGCGTCGTCTTCGAACCTGGAGGACCCGCCCGGCGAGTGGTGGTGGTGGTGGTAACGGTGACGCGTCGACGCCGACGCGGCGTCGTCGTTGAAGAACCCCTCGCCGAACAGCGCGGTCTCGTCGTACGCCGCGTCGAACGACCCGGCGTGGACGAACCCGTACTCGTCGTGCGACGACGTCGCGCGTTGTCGCGCGTCGTCGCGTCCGCGACGGCGGTCCCACCCGTGATGACCTTGCTGATGTTGAAGACCTCGCTGCTGATGATGACCTCGCTGATGACCTTGAAGTTGTTGTTGACGTTGCTGCTGTCGTTGGTGGTGATGGTGCGTCGCCGCGGCGGTGTACGCCGGGGCGAGGGCGTTAAACGCTGCGGAACCCGACGACGCGGCGTTCAGCGGGGCGGCGTCGAAGCCGCCGCGTTGAACGCGCGCGCTGTGTTGTGAGGGGTTCCCTTGATGAGGGTCGCCGCCGTGCGGCTGCGACTGCGGCTGCGGTAGCTCGGGGGCCGCGACGGACGACGTCGCGAGCACGGGCGTCCCGGAGTCGTCCGGGTGGGGGAAGTAGAAATCCCCCGAGTGCGCGCCGCCCGCGCCGAACGTGCCGTCCCCGAACGCGCCGCTCGCGACCTCGCCGGGCTTGAGCTCGCGGTCGCGCCACGGCTTCACGCGCAACTCCGCGGCGCGGAGCGCGTGCGTCGGGCTCGCGAGCACCCTCGACACCGCCTCCGCGCCGTTCGGCGGGGAAAACCCGAGAAACGCGTACCCCGCGCCCGACAGCGACGAGTTCCTTCGCAGGACGTTCGTCGCGTGCGACTGCCGAAGCGGCCGCGGGTTGCAGAACGCGATCCTTCCGAACCGGCTGAAGTACGTCCACAGGTCCTCGACCCGCAGCGCCGGTTCCGAGGAGGGCACGCGCCAGGTGACGTAGATGCGGTTCTCCGCGGGGATGTCGTTCACGGTGGGGTTGAGTAGCGCCGCGCCGCGGAGCGCGCCGATGGCCGCCGCCGCGATGGTGTTCGCGCGCGCGGTGGGGTGGTTCATCGCGAGGAGGTTCGCGGCGGGGACGGGGGACACGCTGCTGTGCCAACCGTTCGCGTTCGCGTCCGCGTTCGGCGGCGGGTCGAAATCGAACCGCGCGCGCGTCGCCGACGACGTCGCGCCGCCGCCGCCGCCGCCGACGTTCATCGCGGCGGCGACGTTGACGTTGTTTGACATTCCGGGAAGCAGCGACGCGCTTCGCAGCGCGTCGCGCACGGGCGCGAAGTTGATCAGCGGGCCGGTGTCGTTCAGAAGCGTCGCGCCCGCGTCGCCGCCGACGGCGGCGGCGGCGGCGGCGACGCTCGCGTTGCCGCCGCCCAGGGCGTTACCGCCGCTCGCGTTCTCGAAAATCAGCCGCAGCTGCGCGAGGTGCGCCTCTTGCTGCCGCCGCTGTTGCTCTTCGTGCTGCAGAATCAGCGCGCGGATGCTCGCCTCGGTGGTCTGCGTGGCGTTGGGCGACGCGGCGTACGCCCCCGCGCCGCCGCCGCCGCCGCCGCCGCCGGATGAAAACCCCCCGACGCCGGGCGCGCGCATCGCGCCGCCGAAGCCGTCGACGTGCTGCCCGGTGGACAGAGGCCCGCCCGCGGCGACGATGACGTGCTGCCCGTGCGGCCTCTGTCGAACTTCGATGACGTCCATGAGGTGCTCTCGCAGAAACGCGCCGAGCGTGGACTTCCGAGCGCGGCCGCCGGGTTTGCCGCTGCGCGCGCTCTCCGGGGTGTACTGCGAATCCAGAACCTTGAGCGCGGTCGTCAGCGGCTTGCGGTAGCACTTGAGGTACTCCTCCGGAAGCTGCGCGATCGATAGAGACCCGCGCGCGAGCAGGAGCTGTCGAATCTCGTACTTTACGAATCGCAGCGGGTCCATCGGGTGCGGCTCCCACGTGTCCGGTATCGGCGCGGGCGGCGCGTCCGCCGCCGCGTCGAGCGCGGCGGCGGCGGCGCTGGGCGCCGAAGAGGACGACGCCGAGAACGGCGTCGCCCCCGCGATCGGCGCCGGCGCGGAGGAGGGCGCGGCGATACCGCCCGCGGCGGCGGCGGCGGCGGCGGGGGCGGCCGGCGCCAGCGTCGGCGCCGGCGGCGCGTCGTCGGCGGCGATCGCGACAACCTCGGCGGCGGCGGCGCCCCCCCCGGGGGGGGCGCCGTCATCGACGCCGTCGAGGTCCGCGGCGACCGTCCCCACGATTGGGTCCGGCCCTTTCGCCTCCGCGCTCAGATCCGACGGCGGCGCCGCGAAGAGCGCGGCGACGTCCGCGGAGGATATCTCCTCGGCGCGCGCGATTGTCGCCGCGTCGCCCGGGACGAGCCCGGCGGCGAGCGCGAGCGCTTCGACGTTCGGCGCGGTGGCCTCCAGGGTCGTCGCGATCGTCGCCGGGGAGGCGGCGACGTCGACGCCCATGCTCGCGGTTCGTTCGTCGGCTTCTTGTCTTCTCTTTTAGAAGTGGCGGCTGCGGTTTTTCTTAACCTGTAATTTTCTGTTGAAGAAGACCTCGTTCTTGGTGACGGACGATCTTTCTTCGCTCGTCGTCAGCGGCGGCCGCGTTCGCGTTGCTTCGCCGTTGACGTCGTGTGATCCTATGTGATATCTCTCGCTGTCGTCCCCTTTTTTACGTGAGGGTACCGGCAGCGGACGGCGCGGGTTCTTTACCTCGCTCCGTGTGCTATACGCGCGTCTCTTGACGCTAGCGCGCTTCCGCGGACGCCCCGGACGAGGGCATTTCAAGAAGCCGCTGCTGCTGACTCACGGTCTGGGGATCTGCGGGCGCGCCGGTCGCGCGGTCGCGAAGAAGGCTCCGTGCGACGACGCGCTGTTCGCTCCGATCGCCGCGAAAGCGCGCGACGCGTTTCGTCGCGGGCCCCCGGGCGGATCAAGAGCGTGCGGCAGCGCGGGCGGTGGAGTGGCGCGATAAGGCGCGCCGGGGGGGCTTCGAAGCCGAAGCCAAAACGCGTGCGAAAACGCGTGACAGAGAGATCGGCAACGCAGATCCGCCAGTGAGCAATTAGTCATGAAAAAATGCCCAAAGGAACGACTCTTCGTGCGTCGATCGCGATTCTGTTCGCCGCGCGCGCGGCTGATGAACCTGGCTGATGAGCCGACTTTCGTTTCGTCGGTCTTCCGTCATTTTCGATGAGCGGCGACGGCGGCGGCGGCCCCGCGCCCGCGCCCGGGGCGGGCGACGCGCCCCCTTCCGTGGACGAGCTCCCGCGCGGGTTCGTCCCGAAACCGCCGAAGAAGTGCTTGAACTGCGCGGCGTCGTACGAATCGCTGAGGCGCTGCTCGCGATGCAAGGCGGTGTACTTTTGCAACGCGACGTGCCAGCGAGAGGTGTGGAAGGAGCACCTGAAGACGTGCGTCCCCGCGCCGCTGAGCGCGAAGGCGGAGGCGGAGAAGGCGGAGATCGAGAAGCTTCGCGCGAGGGAGGAGGCGGCGAAGACGCGTCCGCCGCCTCGACCGCCGCCGCCGCAGACGACGACGCCGCAATCTAAGCCTGAGCAGGTCAAGGCGGACGAGCTCGTGCGAGTGCGCACCGCGATCCTCCCCGAGGTGGACCGCCTCATGAAACTCGGGGAGTACGAAGACGCGATCGAGCACCTGGACGACGGCGTCGCGGTCGCGTCCGCGCACGACGAGCGCGAGCTCCTCGACTCGCTGTCGTGCCTCGTCGCGCGGTGCTACCTGAGATTGAACAAGCCGAAAGACGCGCGCGACGGGCTTAACCCCGCGTTGATGCAAGCGCGTCGAGAGGGCGGGAAGAACGCGATGAAGCCGCACTCGATCGCCGCGGAGATCTGCAAGGCGATGGGCGACGAGACGCAGATGCGCGTGGAGCTGAAAGCGCTCATGGAGGCGGCGCAGGACGCCGGCGTTGACGCGAGAGAGCAGGGCGCGGCGCTGTACCTCGCCGGGTGCCTTCTCGACGACGTCGGCGACGACGCCGCGGCGACGCCGCTGCTGACGTCCGCCGCGGACGCGGCGGAGAAGACGCGCGATCACGGCATGCGCGCGGGCGCGATGAGCCGGATAGGCCGCGCGATGATGCGGGCGAGGAAGCCGCGGGGGGCGATCGACGCGTGGACCGACGAGCTTCGGGCGCTGGACGAGGGCGAACGCGCCAACGCGGAGGACGCGCTGCGGAGGGTGGACGTGTCCGAGGAGAAGCAGAAGGATAAGGATAAGGAGGGCGGCGATCGCGGCGAGGGCGGCGAGGGCGAGAAACAGGATAACGACGATGACGCGAAAACGCCTTCGACGCCGCCGTTACCGTATCGGCCGCTCGGGGACGCGCGCGCTCGGAGGTGCCGAGCGCACGCCAACTTGTACGCCGCGCGCGCGGTGACGAGGGATCGCCCTCGCGCGGACGCGCACCTCGACGCCGCGCTGTCGATCGCGAACGGGATGGGCGACGCGCGCGACGTCGCTCGCGAGCTCGGGAAGCTCTGGCTGCAGGTGGGTCACGCGCGGCGGCTCGCGAGCGTTGGCGAGGAAGGGGAGGAGAAGGACGTCGCGGAGGCGTACGAGAGAGCCGCGGCGAAGGCGAGAGAGGCGGGGGACGACGAGACGGCGAAGGAGGCGGAGGAGGGCCTCGCGAAGAGCGCGGGGAAGAAGTCGCCGTGACGGTCGGACGGACGCGCTTCGTCGATGCATGATGATGATACTGTACCACGTTAGCGGGCGGCGGAGAGTCCGCCGCCAAGAGATGAAAAATGGAGACGACCCAAGCGAGCACAGCAGGAGTCGAGTCGTCGAAAACGCCCGACGACGACTCCACTCGATGGATCGCGCGGCGGCGGTCGCGTCGTCCGCGAGGGGCGTCGGCGCGTCCGCGCGCGCGGCGTCGCCGTCGCGTCCTCCTCCTCCTCCGCGCGACGTCGCCGTCATGAGCGGCGGCGGCGGGAAGCTGCGCGTGCTCGCGCTGCACTCGTGGCGAACGTCCGCGTCCATCTTCGCGAAGCAGCTCGCGGTGGCCGGGTGGACGAACGACGACGGCACCGGGCTCGGCGACCAGTGCGAGTTCGTGTGCGTCGACGCGCCGCACCCCGCGTCCGGCGAGATCCCGCGCGACGTCGCGCGCGCGTTCGAGGGGCCGTACTACGAGTGGTGGGACGCGAGCCGGGACGACCGAGACGGTTCGCTGCGCTACGTCGGCGACGACGCGAGCGTGGCTTTCGTCGAGCGCGTCGCGCGCGAGGACGGGCCGTTCGACGGCGTCGTCGGGTTCTCCCAGGGCGCGACGTTCGCGGGCCTGCTCGCCGCGATCGGCGCGGTGGACGGGCGAGGGCCGTTCGCGGCGGTTTCGGCGGAGGCGCCGCCCGTCTTCGCGATCCTTCTCTCCGGGATGCTCGCGAGGACCTCCGAAGCCGCCGCGACGTACGCCGAGGCGAAGGACTCGCCGCGCCACGCGTCCATCCCAACGATGCACGTGATCGGCGCCGCGGACCGGGTGATGCCCCCCGCGCTGAGCGAGCGTCTCGCGAGCGAATTCGCGGACCCGGTGATCGTGACGCACGAGCGAGGGCACGTCGTGCCGAGGTTGGAACGCGACGCGTTGGCGACGGCGCGGAATTTTTTGGCGGCGAGAGCGGCGGCGGCGCGGGAGGCGCGGGATGGGTCCCCGCGGTCGTCGCTGTGAGGCGATCGACGGCGACGCGAACCGCCTCGTAGACGAATTCTTTTCTTAAATCGTGTGATAACTTGATAGATAACGCGAACGTAGGGTACAACAGCTCGACGACGTCTAATCGTATAGCGTCGTCACTTCTTCTTCTTCGCCGCGAGTTTCTCTTCGTCTATCCGCCTCTGCGCCGCGACCGACAACGGAAAGAACACCTCGTGGAGGTTCGTCCTGAACCCCTTGTCGTACTTGTTCACCACCGGCGGCATCATGAAGCTCTTGTTGTTGTTCTTCTTCTTCCTCGCGAACCCTAGGTACCGCGCGCCGGGTATGCGAGACGCGAACCCGCCGCCGCCGTCGCTCGCGCCGCCGCCGCCGCCGCCGCCGCCGACCGCGGGCGCGCAGCCGACGTCCTCGTCTTCCATCGCGTTCATCGCGTCCTTCACCGCGTCGTCGTCGTCGTCGTCGCCGCCGCCGCCGCCGCCGCCGTCTCCGCCGCCCTCCGCCGCGCGCTCCATCGCGAGATGCTTCAGCGCCCTCTTGTACGACTGCCACTTGAACGTCTCGTTCGTCGTCATGCCTTTGCTTATCATCCACAGGTGGTACCCCAGGAACGCGCCCAGCGCGATCACGAGGATGTACAGGAACGCGGCGAGGCCGAGAATGGGCGCGAAGTGCCACAGCGCGAACCGCGCGAACAGCGCGTAGTCCTCGGTGAGCTTCGTCGGCGTCCCGTCCTTCCCTTCGAACCCGACGTCCCACAGGCCTCTTCTCGAGATTTCATTTCTCACGCACGACAACGCCACCGTTCCCGCGTACGCGCACATGACGACGTGTATCGCGAGGAAGCTCACGAAATACCGCAAGTTATTCTCCCCGATCGAGTTGTTCATCCACCCGCAGAAGTGGTCGAACCGCGCGATGCGTCGTTTCGTGACCCGGCAGTACTTGGACCGCGCGGGCGCCACCACCCCTAGCGTCTTGCACACGATCGGATGAAACAGCGTCTCGTCGTGCGGGTACGCGGCCGCCATCGCCTCGTAGTTCTCCGCGGTGATCGTCCCCGGGTCGGACCAGCACACGACGAGCCACGTCGAGATGCTCGTAAACATCAGGATCGGTATCGAGAGCTTATCGAACGTCCCGACGAGGTCGTACACGCTGGTCCAGTACGCCGCGTACCCGCCCATGACGAGCGCGAGGTAGACGAGCTGCATCGCGGGGTTTGGGCGGTTGCACAGCCACTCGTCGCACGCGGACGCGAGCCGCACCCCGCGCGCTTCCCCGAGCGCCCTCCTCGCGACGAAGCTCCCGCACAGGCAGCAGCCCTCGGTCATGTAGTAGTGCGCCCTCTCCACGATCGTGCCCTCGAACATCTCCGCCTCGCCGAAGAGGAGGAGGAAGAGCACCGCGCCGAAGATTCCAAAGTACGCGTACAGGACTGGCCACACCATCGCGTGCGCCATCGCACCACCGGGGCGGGCGAGGGGGAAGGCGGCGCGCGGACGCGGACGCGGACGCGCGGCGCGGGGTGTTGAGCGATCGCGCGAGGTGGTGTGGCGCCCCGCGATGGTCCTCCGACGCGGGATCGAAACGTCCTTTCGCGTTTCAACACACAGCTGGCACTTTCGGCACCTCAAGTCGCGCAGTTCGCGCCGCACGCGTGATGGTCGCGACCGCGTCTCGACCCCCGTGCGTCGCGGTCGTCCGCTCCGCGTCCTCCTCCCGCGTCCGCGCTCGCGCGTCGTCGTCGTCGTCGCGAACGTCGCGCGTCGTCCGCATGCGCGCGTCGTCGTCGTCGTCCGCCTCCTCCGGCGCCGAGACGACGCCCATCCTGTTTCTCGACCTCGACGGCGTTCTCAACCGCACCGCGACGGCGCCGCAGATCAACCTCGAGCAGGACAAGGTGAACCGCCTCCGCGACGTCCTCGCGGACACGAACGCGGAGGTCGTCCTGAGCACGTACTGGCGGTGCTTCGAGGACTACGTCGCGTACGCGCTCGGTCGCATGGGCGCGCAGGGCGAACGCGTCGTCGGACGCACGCCGGGCGAACCGCACCTCATGGACAGCGTCGAGCACGACGCGAACGTCAGCTCGAGCCGAATCGAGGAGGTGCGCGCGTACCTCGTGACGCGGTTCGGCGAGGACGAGAGCGCGTGGCCGCGGTTCGCGATCGTGGACGACAAGCAGGTCGTCCCGGAGGAGGGACACGCGTGGAGCGCTCGATTCGTGAAGACGACGCACGACGTGGGGCTGACGGAGGAACGCGCGGAGGCGCTGCGGGCGGCGCTGCGCGCGCCCGCGACGGTCGCCGCGCGATGACGATCGATCGACGATGCGTTAGGTACAGTACTATAATACGTTATGTGTTATATATTTATCATAAGGTATCATCCGGGGGCGGCGGGGGCGGGGACCCGCGCAACGGCCGACGCGTCAGCGTCGGCCGCGCGACATCCCTCTCCGCGGACCCCGGCGGGAGTTCGCTCTGCGCGAACGACGTCAGCGGCGTCGCGCGGCGCGCGGCGACTCTCGGCGCGCCGCCGTTGACCGCCTTGGCGACTTGGTCCGCCATCCGCGCCTGCGCCTGCTCGAGATGGCCGAGAATGGAGCGCTGCGAGCGCTCTTGGAACATCCTCTGGGCCTCGGACATCTGAGAGAGGATGCGCGTGATGCTGCCGACTTGCGTCGCGAGGTCGCCGACGGACTTCTCGAGCTTGTCGAGCTCGACGCCGCCGCCGCCGCCGCCGCCGCCGCCGCCGCCGCCGGACGCGAGGACGACGCCGCCGCCCCTCGCGCCGCCGCCTGAACCGCCGCCCGCGCCCATCGCCGCGAGCCCGCTGCGAAGTTCCGAGCGAAGCTCCTCGATGCTCCGGCTCGCGCTCGACGCCGCGGACTCCG